GTGCGGATATTGACGTTTTTTGCCGTAGTAAGCGAATATTCACATTCACAATTACTTACACATAACCAGTAGATATTAAACCAGTAGATATTATAACCAGTAGATATTGAACGAACTGTGACTCAACTAACCAAAAGTATGCAAACTTACCCAAACTAACCCGTCCACGTAATGCGTGCGAGTCCTTGTATGTTGATATTGAATTTAAAGGTAATTTTTGGGCTCTCGGGAACGGGCTATAGGGCGTTTTCTGATCAAGTTCATTTTTGGTACACATATATTGGACGTCAAAAGAAATTTTTCCAAAAAAAATTTGACCTTGACTGTGACCTTGATCCTGACCTTGACCATCAAATTCTGTGTAGTGTTGAAAGGCATCTCAAGTAACCTATATACCGAGTTTTAGCCTTCAAGGTCATACACATTCAGAGATACGGCAACTCCGCATTCTCAGTTTGGGCTCTCTGGAACAGGGTAGAAGGCGTAGTCCGATTGAGTTCATTTTTGGTATACATATTTAGGCCGTAAAAGGTAACAGTTCAGTAAAGGTCCTTCAAAAAAATATCATGCTTCTTCATTATAGAGAGTTTAGTTTGATCCCAAAATATTGTTTTATGATCGAAAATGTTGGCGCAAATAACTATAAATTGTATTTTATAAATATTGAATGAATCCTCTTCTCGACCTTTGACACAGATCAATATATAATATCTATTCTTATCAGCTTAATATCACAAGCGCTCTGTTGAGCAGATAAAAATTTATTAAACGTAAAAAGCATCATGTGGTAGATATTCGAATGACGAGAAGAGCTAAGTGTTCAAACCATTTTTTGAAAAAAACATTATTGAGTAATGATAAAGCGTATAATATCTACTGAACTTTTGAAATTGGTACACTTCAACCGACAATAACTGTGCTATATCGAAACTGATCAAAAATATGCAAACTAACCCGAACTTACCCGTCTTTGTACTGCGTGCTAGTCCCCGTAAACCTATCTAATCGAGAATTACAAAATAATGCAAAACAACCCAAATTAACCCATTCTTGAAATGCATGATAGTATCCTTGAACATTTTTATTTTATCTAGCTTGTCGCGTTTGGTTGTCGTTGTTAATCAGTACACTGTATCCAGTTTTAGATAAGTAATTAATATTCAATATCATGATGTTTCCTATCAAAAGTGTCCAAATTGGCCCACCCTGTACATAATTTCAGCACGATAAATAGATATTTACGTGAATTTCACTGGTCAAGGTCACGGTCAAGTTCACGGCCAACGGCCAAGGTCAATTTTTTTTTGGGGAAATTTTTTTCAGCAGCCTTTATATGTATACCAAAAATGAACTCGATTGGACTACGCCTTCTAGCCCATTCCCGAGAGCCCAAACTGAGAATGCGGGGTTGCCGTATCTCTGAATATGTATGACCTTGAAGGCTAAAACTCGGTGTGTGGGTTATTTATGATGCTCTTCGGCGCTATACATAATTTCAGCACGATAATTTGATATTTATGTGAATTTCACTGGTCAAGGTCACGGTCAAGGTCAAGGTCGCGGCTAAGGTCAATTTTTTCTTGGAAAAATGTCTTTCAGCGGCCTTTATATGTATACCAAAAATGAACTCAATCGGAGTATGCGTTCTACGCTGTTCCCGAGAGCACTAATCATACCAATTTAAAAAACAAAGCCCGCTTCGCGCGCTGTGTTCTCAATCAGTACACTTATAACGAGTAGATACGAACTGTACACAAAACTAACCAAAAATATGCAAACTAACCCAAGCTAACCCGTCCACGTAATGCGTACTAGTCCTATGCAAACTAACCCAAACTAACACACCTTTAAATTGAACCACTTTAATTTATATATTTTTTTTGAAAACTAATATAATCCGCATATTTTTATATTGAAATCGGTCCAAAAAGGCTAACTACAACATTAGGAATGCATCTTATGAGAAACTACGTGTTGCACTAAAGCGTTTTAGCACCGTAAACCGAATCTCTCGGTTCGGTACACTATCGAACGGCGCAGTAATCGAACATTCGGTTCGATGGTGTACTTTGCAATTCAGTATGGCTTTTCGGGAACCATTTCGTTCGGTTTGATAGGAATCAAAGGGCAACCGGAAAAATTTCCGAACGCCATGCAATGTTGTCGGATTGTTATGCTCCCAACCAATCAGAGTGCGTGTATTCGTGCTTGACAGTTGACAAAATGATAGTTGTCAGGGTATTTTTTGATTTTGGTTGACAGTTAAATGAAAGTTTGTGTTGTTTTCGTTTAGTTTTCAATTTTCTTCTGCTTTTTGACGGGTTCCGCCAGTGATGCAAATACATTAAGGGTCACGGCTATAGCCAAAGCTAAGAGAAGAGCGTGCTACTCTTGACTATAGGTATACAGACGCATCTGCTGCTACACAAGATGGATTGTTTTAGTAGATCAAAAACGTTCGGAGGTACGATACAATACTCCCCCAGTCGGATCTCCGAGGGTTTCTGCTCATCGGCTCAAAAAAAATCGTTAAACTTTGCAGCATGGAACATTCGGACTCCGACTCTGCAAGATACTGACACTACAATTCACGCGGAGAGAAGAACGGCCATGAACTAAATCATCCCAATATTGACATTGTTGCGATGAGGGAGACAAAATTCCTGGATGAAAACACTGAAAACAGTCTTAAGACTCGAGGATTTTCACTGGAAGAGAAATCCCTGAGGAGCCTCATGATAATCCTGTTATTACTCGTCTTATCTGTTTCCTTTTGTGCCTGAAAATATGAAATTTATATTGAAAAAACTGATTAAACATCCAAACACGCGTCACCGCAACGTCAAAAACCTTCACCGAAATTCAAATCGAAACCCACAGTGCTATCGGTCAGCGAATCGAGGCTTCGATTGAGTTACCGATCGGTTTGATGCTACGGAATACCTTCCGCGCTATCAAACCGAAAATGACGTCACAATCGAAGAAATTCTACCGAATCGAACGGTTCGTTCTTTACAGAATAGGCTTCCTGGCCTGGGGGGCGGCCTTCCTAAGCGAAACATAATATCGATTACCGTTCTCGTGGAAAAAAGTACCTTATCGGCCATCAGGCATTATTTTGACGAAATAAAGTTGCGTAAGGCAATAATCCATTTAATAGCGAAAAAAATTAAGTAAATCGAAAGTCTTGTGATTATTGTTTTATTTGAGTTTGAATTCCGAGCCCCCTCGTGGCCTTTTTTTAAGTAATGGTTGTTCATGGAATGCCTCTATTACTTAGGGTTTTACCAGGGAGCCGTTTTTTCCGAGGAGCTGTTTTTCCGAGGAGCCGTTTCTCTCAATGATTCCATTCCCAACAAGCCCAAATTCTTAAAGAACACTATTTGCGTGGAGTGCGGAATAGAGCTTTTGAAGGGATTCCTAGAGGAATCAAGTCCCTCACGAATTGACTCCTGTACCTCCACATTTGACGACAATTGGGAACTTCTAGCCTCTATCTCGATTTTAAACTTACTCAATCAAACTAGTTTCCATCAAGACTTGACTTTAAACTAACTTAATCAAGCCAGTTTTCATCGAGATTCGACTTTAAACATCTACCTTGATCCAAGACTAGAATCTGCAACTTCCATTTGCAACTTCCCTCGTCAAAAAAAAATGGATGATAGGATGGCTATCGTAATCCACCTTTCATTGAAATGGAGGCTTGTATAAAGTTTCATTATTAACGTTTTTTTTTTTTTTTCTCTTTATTATATATTTTATTTACGACTAATATATAATGTGCGTATTATATTTGTGATTTTGGCAGTATAATGACATATGTTATTCCTCCAGGGATTAATGACGAGTAGCGGGATTAATGGTCATTATTCCACAAAAGTGTCAGTGTCAAACGTGTAGTGCTTTTGGATTTGTATTGAAAATTATGAGACGGATGAAATTTGTTCATTGAAAATCCCAAATAAATAAATTTGTCGTAAATAAAGTAGAGTATACTACTCGCAATAATGGCTATTATTCCCTCGGAATGTTACTCCCTCGCCGCTAACGCGGCTCAGTTCGTAATAATCCTCGGGAATAATAGCTATCATTATTGACTCGTGGTATAATCTACTATTATGTTCAATTAACATAATTGATTGAACCTTTACTGATATGACATTTGGATATTTAAAATTTTATTTTCGCTTTCTTGACACCGAGGTGATGGTGGAATAATTGCTTCTATGGATTTTCGATTTATCGAATTTATTATACATTTATTTTAATATTGCCATATTTTAGGAATGCAAGTTTTATTATTCATAATCAATAATCTGAACTGAAGTCAAGGTTGGACAACATGGATAATGATATGGCCAGAGACTATGTTTCGGTGCATTCTAATATTATTATTTTTGTTGAGCTTGATGAATGTGATTGAAAGTTAACCTCTTTTTATTGATTTGATTTAAAATGTTTTACCGACAGTTGGTTTTATCTTTTAAATTTATTTGATTCTTAATTTTTAACCTCACCGTGAAATATACACTAATTTAATTTGAAACTTACTTAACTGTTTTATTGTTTTATCTGTGTCAAGATTTGGTTGAGTTATATGCCGTATTTATTTCCTTTTCAGAATTACCAATTACCGTTTGCTGATTTTTTTTTTGGTGTGTTTCTGAATTTTCACACCCCAATATTTTATGTGATTTAATTTAAATTCAGTGGCGCACTTGCCATTCTGTACTCATTAACTATCAACCCAGTCTTAATAATTATTCGCTGAGCAAATTGAGCATATTATAAGCCTCTTGTTAATTCATTAACAAAAGGGGTTACAAAATTTTATACTATTCATTCTGTTAAATCTGTTTGTTAATTTATATTTATATTATTAAATATAAATTTTCTCTTGAAACTGGGATTAGACCATATATTTTTGTGCTTTTTAAATAACTGAATATTTTAATCTACATTTTTTTAAAATCTATGTGCTTTATCAACACATTCATTTATGAAACACTATCGTACAAATTAGCTTGGCTAAATTGTATAAGAACTAATTCGTAGGTAACTATTGCGCTTGCGACCTAAAATGAGAACGTTATAAACTAGAAATACAATAAATAAATAAATTAACTTACACTTAAAATAATTCCTCTTTTAACGCTAAACATCTTGCAGCCGGTCAATGCAGTTTTGTCAAAACTGATTTGCGTTAATAATCTACGAATCTAAAAAGCAAACGATTTAAAGATAATAAAAATTAATTGAATAAATGGCTCACTTCAATATTATACAATGATGAATCGACTGAATTTAGAATATTCAGTGGGGATTTACTTTCGTCATTTATCCATGCGGCATAAAGCGATACCATTGTAGTTTTAAAAATTAAATAACCGAAGGAAAAAATAAAATAAATTTTACCCAATGTGAGAGAAATAGACCTAAAAATAATATGTTTCTGGTTTCTGTGACATTTATCAAATTAATTTAATTTTCTGACTTACTCTAAGCTGTGATAAAGCTGTATCAAGAGAAAAAAAATATTTAAAAAATACGACAAAAGAACTATAGCTGAAATATGAGCGTCTAGTTCTTTGCAAAAACTTGCCAACCTGTCATAATCTTCACGAATTTGTTTCCAAAATATTACTGAATTATTCTACAAAAAATTATTGCATTAAACAGCTACCTACCTACTAAAAAAAATTATAACTTACTGAATATTTGTGACTTTCTAAATCTAATTTCTGGTATATTTGCTGGAATCGCATTGCTAAAGCAGTACTAGTTATTATAATAAATAAATCATTTAATGCCCATGTTAAGTTTGAATGAACTGTTATTAACTGAAAGAAGAAGTTGATTTGTTTGTAATTATCAGTCTCGAGAAGCACCTACCGTGCAATATATAGCAGAAGGAATTGAAAATGGTACATAAACAAACAACTGGTGAAATGTATCATTAAAATAAATCAAGGCTGACATATTTTCAGCATGTCTATCCATAAGTTGCTCGTATCGATTTCCAACGCTCAATAGAAGATCCACTGAAATAATTGGTTATTATTTAATTTGTTACTTACATTAACACGTATTTCCTGTTCTTACCGATGCCGAGCGATAAAAATATCCCAATAAAGATTTTGATTTTTGTATCCAGTGTGTTGGGGTATCCATAACTGGTATTCATTATTTTGTCGATGAAATCCCAACCCTTCATGAGCTTTGACCATGATATAGCTAGCCGTAGATATAAAATGGTTGTAGCAAAGGAACCACCATAAAATACTGATAAGGCTGAAATTGAAGAGACTTTTTGAGTACCTACAGTGATAAATTCCGGAACTATATGTTTCAGTCTATGTTACATGAAAAATTATACAAAAATGTTGGGGTCTTTTATAGTCAGAGGCTCTCAAATGTTCAAAAGATTGAAAATGAAGATTGACCCAAGATTTCTGAATTACATACCTACTTCTTTTGGGTATCGCAGGAGGGCTAACTAAGAGTTTCTGATCATCCGTGGATCCACTTTTTTGTATGATGCATTCATGTACCTATGTCTCCAATAGTCTTCATTCTTCATATTTCCATATCCTTATAAATGGAAGATTAAAAGTGGAGTTCTGACCATCCTTCGCTTTGCTCCTCGGGTTTCCACTATATGACTTTAAAGATTATCGCTCGTATTTTTGTCGGGCAACCATGGCTTAGATATTTTTTCTGTACGTACTGTACGATCTCAAACCAACCATCTCTTCCAATTCAGACGTCCTCCTCCAAACCTGCTTCTCTCATTTCCTTGTCCACTCCACTTCTTCAGCATCTTCTCGGTCTGCAACATCTTCTTTTCCCTGGCTTCCGATCTAGATTTGCTCAGGTATTCTCGTATCTGTCATTCTTTATACATACATGTTCGAACCAAATTAGTTATTTGTCTTGGATACATTCTAATATTCTCTGTTTCTCTCACTCTCAGATTTATTATCCTTTCCACTTTTAGCCTGCCTGCCGCTTTCCTCCAAAAAGTTTATTTCAGGTGCATCCATCATTTTTGCAGTTCTTAGTGGTCAGACCGCTCAAATGTATGTAACTATGTTTCTGATGATGGTGTTGTATATTCTAGGATTGCTTCTTTAGTTTATATTTTGGTCCCACAGTACCTACTTCATTTAGTAGGGAGATTGCCTTGCGACCTTGTACATTTTGATTTTCGCTCCAAATTTGCCTACTACTTTGTCGTTGTTTTTTCCTTCTGTTCGTCTATTAAATTCTCACAACAATATTATTTCCCTTGAATTTCCTACGTTTATGATTTCATCCGAGTTGTTGGTAGGTAGAATATAGGTGCTGTGAAAGTGAAGATCCCAAAAAGATGGCCATAAATTACAGGGATTTAAAAAGTGAAAAAGGGGAGTTTTCGGAAAAATAGTTTTTCTCCAAACGTCAGAAAAACGTCACTTTGTTAACTCCTGTCAAGATGTCGGAAATTTGATTTCTATGCTGCTAGGCAAATCCAGCGGGTTAACACCTGTCGAGGGGGTAGAAATTTAATTTTTCTCCAAACGTCACAAAAACGTCACTTTGTTAACCCCTGTCAAGATGTCAGAAATTGGATTTCTATGCTACTAGGCAAATCCAGCGGGTTAACACCTGTCGAGGTGGTAGAAATTTAATTTCTATGCTGCTTGGCAACCCCAGCGGCAGCAAAAGTACTTTTAGTGCCGCTCGTACTTTTACTGCCGCTCAACGATTCACTTGCCCCTGAGCTTACCCCATTCGTTTGGAGAAAAAATAGCGTGTTGCATACGGAGTAGAAGCACTTTTTTGTGCTTCAGCAGTATTGCAAGCCTCACTACGTTCGGCTCGCAAACCTACCGCTTCAGCACAAAAAAGTAAAGCTTCTACTCCTAATACAACAATATACTATTTTCTCCAAACGTCAAAAAAACGTCACTTTGTTAACGCCTGTCAAGATGTCAGAAATTTAATTTCTATGCTGCTAGGAAAATTCAGCGGGTTAACACCTGTCAAGGTGGTAGAAATTTAATTTCTATGCTGCTAGGCAACCGCAGCGGCAGTAGAAGTACTTTTAGTGCCGCTCGTACTTTTACTGCCGCTCAACCATCCAGTTACCCCCGAGCTTACCCCATTCGTTTGGAGAAAAAATAGCGTGTTGCATACGGAGTAGAAGCACTTTTTTGTGCTTCAGCAGTATTGCTTCTACTCCTAATACAACAAACAACAATATACTATTCTATGCTGCTTGGCAACCCCAGGTGCAGCAAAAGTACTTTTAGTGCCGCTCATACTTTTACTGCCGCTCAACCATCCACTTGCCCCCGAGCTTACCCCATTCGTTTGGAGAAAAAATAGCATGTTGCATATGGAGTAGAAGCACTTTTTTGTGCTTCAGCAGTATTGCAAGTCTCACTACGTTCGGCTTGCAAACATACAACAATATACTATTTAGCAATTATTATTTACCTTAATAAAATTCAAATTCCACCAAAAAACTTTATCTTAAATTAAATCCCAATAATCAAAGTTATAATTGAAAAGAAATAAAGTAAATAAAATACTCTCAATAGTCTTAATTGGGATTTTCTAAGTTCAAATTAAAATAATAATTAATGTAGTTATCTGTTTCGCTGCTTAAGCCAGCGATAAAGGTCAAAAATCCAATCTAACAATTATTATACGGACTCTCCTCTATAGTCATCAGTTATCTTTAACGGAAGCGGTCCGAATGAACTGAATTACGCAACCGGAAGAGACACAAGAATTCTTGACCTTTCATAGAAAACTCATAAATCTAAACACCAAACGACATTAATAATTACAAGGCTAACTTGTTTAATTGTGTACACGTGCTGTCGGCATTTTTGAACAGCGGAAACGGAAACGATAATTCTTGCAACACTACTCCGATAAATACTAAATTAGGACACGCAGGTGGAGGGGTCATTGTGGAGATAACCTTAGGAAATTTATGGTGGGATCGAATACTATTTACAAATTACAATTAGAGGAAGAGGCAATTGAATTGACAATTATGTAAGAATTAAGAATTAAAAATTACACTTACATTTAGAAGTAGAATCATTAATTGATTCATAGTAAAACATTATTTTCTTTATTTCTGCCTCGGGACCAAATTAAATTCGCGATTTAATTGACTATGTTGACAAGTTAAGAAGTTAGAAGTAAATTCAAATATTTAAGTCGATGCTAAGCAATTAAAACAAAAATACTTTGATAGTTAGAGCCAGTGTAGTGAATTTAATGAAAAATTATGTTCTTCTTCTTCCTCAGCCATCTGTTGTCCACTCCTGGACGAAGGCCTCTTTCATGTACCTCCACGCGTCTCTGTCTTGTGCCATCTGGAACTACCTCCTTCTTGCTTGTTTCTTTATATCGTCGAGCCATCTTTTCTGTGCAGTGGCGGCTCGTTGTTTTAATTTTTTTTTTCTTTTTAAATTCTTTCTCCAGAGTGGCGGAGCCCACCTTGCCCATATGGGCGAACCGCCTCTGCTTCTGTGGTCTTCCCACGCCACGCTTTGCCAGTCTTGGTCTCCAATGTAGCAATCTCGATGTCCATCGATTTTCTTCTTGTCTAGCCACGTGTCCCGCCCATTTCCATTTGAGCTCTGCAGTGTGTTCCATTATATCTGCGACTTTAGTTCTTCGTCGGATTTCTTCATTTCTGACTTTATCTCTTAAACCTATACCGAGCATGGCCCGTTCTATGGCTCTCTGCATTACTCTCAGGCGTTCAGCACTTTTCTTTGTCATGGCGGGAGTCAATTCTAGCATCGTCCATAGCATGCAGGAAGGCCCACGTTTCAACAGAGTCAAAAGCTTTTTGGAAATCTATGAATGCTAGGTGCAGGGGCACGTTGTATTCCGTCGTTTTCTCTATTAAGTTTCTTATTTTCTGCAGGTGATCGATGGTGCTAAATCCTTTCCGAAACCCTGCCTGTTCGAAAGGTTGGTAAATGTCGAATTTGCTTGTTAATCTAGTGGTTATAATCTTTGTTACGAGTTTATATACGTGTGACAACAGGCTGATTGGACGGTAATATTCTATATTGGTGTTATCGCCTTTCTTAAAGAGTAAGATGAACTCAGCGTTTTGCCATGTTTCGGGGATTTTTCCCTCTTGCACACATTTGTTGAGTAATACACATAATGCCTCTTCCATTTTCTTTCCCCCCATCTTCCACACCTCGCAAGTAACCCCGTCTTCTCCTGGGCATTTATTGTTTTTCATTTGCTTTAGGGCTGCTTTAATTTCTTGTTTTGTTATTTGGGGGATGTCCTCTGATCCCTCATTTCGGACTAAAGTTTTAGATGTTTTTGTGTCAGGTATAGTTAAGGTATAAAGGTGGCTCTAAAAGTTTTTTATGTGTGTGGCAATCTCCTTAGTATCCGAGATTATACTACCTTATGGATCTTTATTCTTGGTGATTATATGTTCACCTGAGGATAGTTTGGATTTCAAGACCTTCATGTTTGCATTTTTCTCTATGGTGTTTTCGATTTGGTCTGTGTTGTATGTTCGAATATCCTTTCTCACCTGTTTGCTAATTCTTTTATTCAATTTTTGGTATTCCGCCGAGTCTCTAGTTCTTTGTTTCATGAGGTCTAGTGTATCTGGCTTTAATTTGTGATCTTTTTGGTTTCGGACCTTGGTGTAGATCTTCTTTGTCGCCGTGCAGATATGGGTATTAATTCTTCTACTAAGTTCGTTTATGTCCATGTTTTCTAAGGCTTTAATCGGTGTCAGCTTCTTCGTCAGTTCTTTCTGATATATTTCCTCATTTTGACGTAACATCGCACTGATGGGAAATTTGTCTTGATGGATTAATGCGGTCCGGGCTTTTCCATGTCCATTTTCTTTGCTTCAGTTTTTTGTAAAATGTGTTTAGACAGTATAAATTCTCTTTATTAAGATAATCAATTAGCATATCTCCACGCGGATTTTTTATACCTTAGCCAAAACTACCGACGTTATTACAACAAATTATGTTAGTAAGTACATATCAGATAAGAAGACTTTTATTTGAAATTAATTGCAATCACTATGAATGTGAAATGACTATGGAACATTATTGCAAAAAATTAATTGACTTTGAGTGAAATGACTTTTGAATATTTTTGCCATGAGTTAAAATAGGAAATTATCATGCACTTAACGATTGCCAATTAGTAGAATGA